ACACAAGAATAGTCCTAGGGCTAGCGTAGGTCGACGGTCGGCAGACAGAATCACAGGGGCAAGACTAGAGGGATAAATCCAGGAAGACAGGCAGAGATCAAAACCGGGACGGAAACACGGGACGGAAACACGAACTAGGAAAAACTAACAGGCTAAGCAGTACTCGGCAGTGAATGGTAGTTTGAGTGAGTGATATATAGTGAGTGAGTGATGTGAAACAGCTGTGTGCAATCAGTGAAAACAGCTGTGTGCAATCCGTGCTGAGTGCAATCAGTGCAATGAATGATGGGATATGTAGTCCGGGGTGATGTGCAACAGTGTGTAGTGCGAGAGTCAATGAAATTGTAAAGGGTGACCTCTGATGGCTAGCAGATGGAAGTTCATGGACCGGATTCGTGACACACAACATTTCTATCTTAAAATTTCAATTTCTAACTTAAATCTACCAATCAATATAAATTAAATTTGAATACAATGAATGGGATTCCGTGATGTTTCATGCTGCATTCCAAGCTTCAAAACGAATCCAGACACACCAAACATATTTTAAAAGTAGCCAAAACAACTGGCCCAGTTCTCCAAGTTATACAATAGATTTGTTTAATGAATGGACCAAACTTTAAGTGATTACTTCACTGATAATCCTCTCTGTGGAGAAGCGATGGGCACAAAATAATCGCTGAGTCAAAATTGACAGGGATCGTTTCCCAAAGCAACTACGGTTGCATGTAACTTAATGTCGTTATAGTTCAATGTAATTTAACAAACACAGTTCGCCAACAATGCTTTTGGGAAACACACCCCAGATCTATCCAGTTTAATGTGAACCATTCACACTGGTTTCGTTAAACAAAATACATTTTTCATTTAAAAGATTGAATCAAAAGAATCATCTGTTCATGAATCGGATCATGAACTCGCATTACCGCGCCAAAGATAATCTATTCTTGAACATTTCGAATGAATAAAGACTTCAAGTTCATCTGTAAAGCACACAAAGCTATCGTTTGACTTTATAAACTTTTATTTCATGCATGATTCGCATTGGATCTGTTAACTGAATGCAAAGTGTCATTTTTTTCATCTTAGAAATATTAAACGTAATGATAACCATTCAACACTCAAAATATGAGAAAATAGAAAAACGAGTTACTGGATACAATTTTTCAAAGATCAAGGACAACTTCCCTCAAGATGCTTTTTCAGATTAGACGTTGAATCCTTAGATGCTGATAGAAGTTTTTGTTGCAGGTAACGTAGGCATGGCATTGCGCTGAGATGTTACGACCTTTTTCAGATATATAAGTAAATCGTTTTTGTATTTCCACGAGAGAAATGCATTACGCGAATGGCTTTCTGTTGTGTTGTCCATTTTTGTGTCGTGATGATGAGCATATGCACTACGAGTTGCTAAATGAACAGGCCACTTTGCTCCATTTTTCAATGGAGAATCAGTTGTCTTATGGGTTAAAATCCCCAAACTTAAATATTAAATTAAGAAATGACATTAAAATTCAAAGTAATCACTTTGGTAATCTAAAATACTTTTCAGATTACCACCTATTTAAAATTTAATTATAATGAAATACAGTTACTCATATTTTGTATTTTAAATACGTAACGTATATTCCGTTACTCCCCAGCCCTGGCTGTGACCCCCGCTGCCTAACTGCCTGCAACATCCTAACACATCCACGCACACACACACAGGTTTACATGAGATTACATCTGCATTAAGTCGAGAGACTGGGGAACAGCTGCAGTCTCATTTCAGACTACAGCACCTGTCTAGCTATATTAAACTACAAAAGTGGGCCAGCTCTCTCCTCACAGTGCGCGGCCCACACCTGCAGCTATTTCAGACAACTGCCATTCACAGGAATCCACAACATGCTCAAAGAAATGTGGAAAGGGAATCTGGGAATCTCGCTTCACGGTTTTCTCCCATTAGGGGAACCTCTGTGATTTTCATCCCCACTTCAGATGATCGCATGCAATTATGAACTGCATTTGAGGGACACGTCTCAGTTGAACCGCTAATGTGTGCATGATTCCATTCAGTTCATTTCAATCCATTTGTCAATTGCTTAGCAAGTTATATTGCATACTGTTTATTGCATAATGCTTAATTTATGAATGCAAACAAGATATCGAGATCCCTGAAGCCAGACTTACAGGAAAAGTTCAGCAAAAGAGGAAAGCTTTTGATATTTATAAATCACAAACCAACTTACTCATATCTTAGGTCTTCAAAGATTTTTTTCACTATAGGTTCGATTAAGGTGTTAATGATGTCAACTACTTTTATAATACTTTTTGATGCCTTTTTGTCCTTTATTTAAAAAAATTTTTTTGACAGATGTGGGCAACGTGAACTGCTTGTATACAAAAAATGTATACAAAAAAAATAAAATGTAATGAATATTTAATCAGCAACTCTCCATGCATGTTTCAAAAAAATACAAATGAAATTTTCAGAAACATGTAAAAAAAAGTATATAAAAATGTATAAAAAAATGTATAAACTTATGGCTGTAATTATATTATTTCTATATTTAATTACAACAGGAAAATAACCCAATCAAAGCTTTTTTGGAGTGTTAATATATGCAAAACAGCTTCGTTTATATTCCTCAAAAAATTATCCTTTTGTGTTTCTTGAAAAAAGTAAATGACAGCTTTCCTTTTCAATTCAATTTTCACAAATATATATAAACAAATGATAAAATTATAAAAAAATATGGTAATTCATATATTTCATACTTTACATTGATAAACTTGTGCAAAAAAAAAATTATTACACCTACCCAACATCTCAGCCTCCAACAACATGAGCACAAGTCCATCTTTAGTCCAGAGTCTAAAGTGTTTTCACAAACAGGTCAAAAGTGGCACTATTCGGCACTTTCCTTTCTATACAGAGAACTACAAACACACATGCATGAAAGCTAAATATTACTGCAGTCTGGGTGAGCTTCAACAGCGCAAACCTCTTTCCTCCAGCAAATCTAATTTGGAGGGAAATAGACTTCTCTTTGTGCACTCATGTGGGGCCGAGAGTCCATGTGGAGGAGAAAAAAAGAGGCAGAGTGAGAGAGAGAGAAACAGAGAGATCAGTGTGCCACTGGAGGGTGTGAGATACGAGCCAGCTGTTGCCCTCAATAAAGAACTCAAGAGGACTGTCAGCAGAAACATGCCAGCTTCCCACAATAAATAATGTGTGTGCATGTGTTTTAAAAACACAAACAGGCCTGCTTAACTATGCAACTTTACAAAGAGCATGATAGAATCCTAAAGGTGCTTCTTCCGATGTTTTCCTTTCTTCTATCCCAATCTAGAGACTATAAGTAGGTTCGTTCAACAGTGTAGACACTGTGACTCCGTTGCTGTGGTTGTTTAAGCCCAACTAGCCTGACACAGCAAAACCGGCTCAACCAATAAAATAAGTTTGGGGCGTGGTTGTTTATTTTTCTGACCAATGGCAAGGCAGAGAGCAGTTGTTTTTTTTTTGGTTGTTTTTTTGACATTGCTTTAGACATACCGCAGTCTTTTGATGAAGGTATCTTTTAAATTTATTCAATGAAGTTGTGATTTAATTTCCTTTACTTTTAACAGATTTTTGAAATGCATCTAATTTTAGTTAGAAAAAAATATTTTAGTTGATGAGAAATTAAGTCATATTTTTACATATCATATTTTTACATATCATATTTTAACGTACAAGTGAACGTTAAGCAAAAGCCATTCATTTTGCAATTCTGAAAGACACGCTTCACCTTTATGTGCACTTTCACACCACAGCTTTTTGATGTCATCAGTCTGATCCGTCTTTTTGATAAAGCATCCTTTTGACGTCAGTTCAGTTCAGTTCAGTTCAAAATTCAGCTGAGCACCAGCAAACTAAACTCTTTGGTTTGGGATACAACTCACAACGTGCATGAAAACAAGCAGTCAAAAATCCCCAAAGCAAATCGGTTTGATGACGTACAGTTTGCATCTTTGCATGCTCTCTGTCACACTTTCATACTATAACGCAGTTACTCTGCAGTAAACAGCTGACACAAGCAATCGACAAACCATGTCTCGAGCCCAAATGTACGATGTGGAAAAGGACCTGCAAGGCTCTTTCTTTCAACCAATCAATCAAACCAAGCAAGCCTCAGACTCATCCAGTAATCTACATGACTCATGACATGTTGAATTACCAAAAAAGACTATAACCCAATATCTTCTAGGAAACATATCCCGATTTCCTGTAGCCTCAAACTCAATAATAAGGCCAACTAGAACAGAAACAGTCACATGATGGGACCAAATAGTATGTGGACACAATGCATGTTGCTGCTTTTACCTCTACTACCTCAAAAATGAAAATTCTGTCGTTATTTACTCAAAAAGGCAAAAAAAGGCAGCATAAAAGTGGTCCAGATGACTTATTTGAAGACTTCTGAAGCCATGCAACACATTTAGGCTAGGTTTCACTAAGTCACCAGTTTTGGTGCGTCAATGGCATTTTGGACACAAGGCATTAGAAACAAACGTAGAAATAAATTTAGATGACTAATATATGGCACTATTATTATGGTACTTTTGGGCAGATTTTTCAGACCAACATTGTGAAAACACAAAAATGTAGGCCTATAAAATAGAAATAATAAAACCAATTAAATAAAAAATCTAAACAAAAACTATGGTTGTAAATATATATATTTTTTTTTTG